TTAGGGATGGCAACTCAACCCGAATCCGACGGGTTCCGACCCGACCCGACTCGACCGGGTCATATTTTTTAAAAAAAAAAATTGGGTTCGGGTTGGGTCGGATTTAGGGTGGAAAAATCCGACCCGACCCAAAAAAATATATATAATTTTACCCTATATATTTAGGGATAATTACAATAATACTCCTTTATATATAATTTTTTTCAATTAAGTCACTATTTTTATTGAATAAAAATATATTTTTATTATTATTTCGGGTCAGGTCGGGTGAAACCTTAATTTCATCGAATCAGATCACGGGTGGAGGAGCCTTTCTTCTCGGGTCGGGTGACCCAAAAACCCGACACATTGCCATCCCTAATTAATATGTGTCAACAATTAAAGACTACTAAAATTTATGAATAGGGGAGGGAGTTTTCATTATAAAAACAATACAAAAAGTATGTCAGAGTGAGTTATGTGAAAAAGAGAAAAAAAAATTAGTTGACTTTATTTTCATATGTAATGGAGTGTGGGGAGGTAAGGTAGTAGGATGCCCACAACGCCAGGTTGAGAGCAGATTCTGTATCATGGGACTCGATCCCACGACCACAAGGTTAAGAGTCTTGCGCTCTACCAACTGAGCTGGACGGGCAATTCTAAAAAAGAGAGCTTATGGTATATAATAAAAATAGTGATATAATTCAATAATATTATAATTGTATTGTATATTAACAAAAAAATTATTCTCTTAACTTTCCTAGTTAACCTTAATTTATTTTAAATTATTAATGCATTTGTGTTGGTTTTAATATATAATATACTCTATCACTTAAATAATAAATGATCAATTCTATTGTCTGAATGATATATGGTCGATTCTGATGTCTAAGTATTATTATGTACTAAGAAATTATAAATAAAATATAAGACTAACCGACTTTAGAAAATTGATGTAACATTAGTGATAGATCTTAGGTTCTCTATAGTGAACATGTTGGGTTTGTCAAATTTTTAACATGAATAATGTTTTGTAGGGTTTTTTTTTAACGTGTAGAAGGTTCTTCCATAAAAAAAGTTATTTTTAACTATCCTTTATGATTACTCACAATTTTCGTTGAGACACCCACTTTACTTGTTTTCAATGATTTTGTGTCCCTAAATCCGACTTGTGCCAAGAAAGGATTTGCTGATAAAAAATAATTTATCAGTGTCCTTTATCAGGTTAATATTCACTAACTACTGCCCGTTATTAAAGATAAATCTCTTTATGATCATCCTTTCACTTTGTTACTAAGACCAAATAACTTCTTTTTTGTGAACTGTGATGCATGTGACAATTAGGGAAATTGTGTTTTATATATTTGTTTTGCATGCAACATTTAAGTTAAGAAGGATTGTGTTTCATTGTCACACCACATTAGATTTAATTTTCATTATTTTTCGTCGGCATTGACCACTATGACTTTAGAGGTCAGGATAACAAAATCTGATTTGAAAAGGTGAACAACAAATATTAGTGTTATTATTGTTCTCAGCTAGGTTGAAAAAATTTGTTATCCATGCCAATTGTTTCATTCAGAACAAGAGGTTGTATCATGTGTTCGAGGCAGAAAAATCAGATAAATTTTAAAAAAATTGATTTTTTATTTGACGAATCTACTACTTCCATCATTTGTATTATTAAGAAAATTAAAATCGGTAACGATGTACTAATTGCAAAGATAGGTTGCGTGCTACCTATCCAATCCTCATTTTATCATCCTCTACTACATTAATATTATATGTGAAGAATAAAGAGATTCACAATAATTGGTTTATCTTTGGGAAACTTGTGACAATGTATGTGTATCAAATATGTTTCGGGAGAGTATTCATTTATCAATTTCGCAAGCAAAATATCCTGCAAACGCAACTGTTCGAACTCATGATCTCTAAGGAGAATAACGTTTTCTTTTACCACTGAGGTCATTTGATGAGCTCTCCTGCTCTGGTATATTTAAGTTCAAGTTTGATTCTTATGATGCATAAAAGTACCAAGTTGAGAAAAAATGCCTAGTTTAAGACCAATTGATATACTAATCCATAAATTCACATATCAGTCAAATATTTCAGTTATTTTTTGAAATATCATGTCAATGAATTATGTTAGCAATTTAGAACTCCTAATAACATTATAAAAAATTCAAATTATAAAACATTAAAATAAATAGGTTAAACCTTAAATTTCAATACAATATAAAGACTAGAATCAAAATTCGACCAAATCAACCAGTAACAACAATCACAACATAAAAAATCACGTCAGCTAATCATGTTATTGTAATTTCGCATGCAGTTGCTGTAAGTTAGGTCCAATTCTATAGAAGGTCCATGTAGTTCGTGTTTTTAGCATATTCAGTCCCTCTAATGTAATTTGAAACTTCAATAACTTAATAAAATAGTAGCCTTTAATTTTTTTTTAACTTAATAAAAAATCACGTCAGCTAATCATGTTATTGTAATTTCGCATGCAGTTGCTGTAAGTTAGGTCCAATTCTATAGAAGGTCCATGTAGTTCGTGTTTTTAGCATATTCAGTCACTCTAATGTAATTTGAAACTTCAATAACTTAATAAAATAGTAGCCTTTAATTTTTTTTTTAACAATCTAAGGTGATTATAAGATAGTATTTATTCAGAATTTTCTTAATCTGACAATGTACACATCTTACTGACACAACTGGTCAAACTAAAATCCTCTTTAAAGAATGACATTATTTTTACCATCGAAGTCGTGCAATAATTTCGACCTTTTCAAGTATTAGGATTAGGTCTCTTTCTGAAATTGGGGTACTGCAAAAACGCCTTTATCTGTATGTGGTTGGAACGGTATATATATCTTGATTGATTCCAAATGCGGCTGGAAAAATATGGCAGAATTTGTGGCTATTAGGTTTCAAGTAGCCACCATCTCCTCATCTATATGCATGTTTTTCTAGCTACATTTTTTTCACTTTCAGTCTTAAACTATAATTTTCTTCTCTTTTTGCCTTCAAAGTATACAATTTTTTTCTCAATTTAAGTCTTAATTTGCCATCTTTTTTCTATTTGTCCCTATAATAAAAACAGATGGTTATTAAGAAAGTGTTATGTATCACATTCTTATTCATTATTATTTTTTACTTTTTCCTTAACTAGCTTTTGTTTAGTTTTGATCACTCAACTATTTTTTTCAAAATCATACTTGACATTTTATTTTGGTTTCATTTTGGTCACCCGTCATTAAAAAAATTAACGGTGTTGTTGACGTTTTGTCATAAGATAATGTTATGTCATCATTTATAAAAGTCACATCAGTAGCTATGTTAAATTTTTAATGGAGGGTGACCAAAATGAAACCAAAACATAACATTAGGTATGATTTTGAAAAAATAGTTTGATGACTAAAACATAACAAAAGTAACAATTGAGGTACTAAATGTGAAGTTTACCCCAAAAGTTTTTATAAGTGAAAGAAAGAGAAATCACTCGAGATTGAACCTATAACTAATATCAACTAAATTATGAGTTCCATTAACAGGTAGAGTGGTTAAAGAAGTTCTTTTTTTTTCAGAGTTTGTGTGGGTTCGAATCTCAATATATATTTTGAAAATATAATACATCTCTATTTAATAAAAAAAAATCAACTAAATTATTTCAACCAAAGCTTCTTTTTTGTCATTGCACCATAAGATAAGTTTTAGTATATTATGCATAGACAAGCACTAGCTATCAAGTAGACAATACATCTTTTTATGCAACTACAAAGATGAGAAAGAGACATTTCATTTTCTTCACCATAATATGCCAAAAGCTAAAGAAAATGAAACCCTAGGAAAATGTCATGCGTACTGAATAAAGGGGTTTGTATTCAAAACATTAATAGAATTTAACTTTATCCATTGACAGTGAATTACATGATGTTATCTGTCGAAATATATAATAATCATATCTATTTTTAAAATTATTCGCTAATTTATTAATAACGTGTCTTAATATGATTCATTGATAGTGTAAGAAATTATGATTAAACTATCTTAAGTATATTGAATATAAATCCAACAAAGGAAAAGAAAATGCAATGAATTTCCTATAGTTTTTTTTTTTTTTGTCTTCTATAACGCTAGAATTGTGTGACCTAAATTCTATTTGATTGGACTTGAGATGATTAACAATAAACTCACTTAAAACATAAATTAAAATAAAGATTTGCGATGATAGGCAAAGAAGTTCAATCCATATAGAACTTTATTTTCTTCCCTTTATAAGCTGATGAACAGTAATAAACTCAGTTTGAGTATATTTCTTGTTATGCAAGTTTTCTTTGTAAACAAAAAAATTATATCTATAAATAGATATTATGGATTAGGGTTTAAAGACGAGTTGTTTAAATCTTAAAGCGCGTTTAGATGTTCATCTTCTTGTACTTTTCTTCGACATAGTGAATTTTTATTTTCTTCTACATGTGATTTTTTCTTAAAATAATTTTTTACACTAATTCTTGGTGTTCTTTATTTTACAATTATTTTACATTTGTTATTTTCGTATTTTAATTATCACGAACTATTGCAACTATCCTTTTCTAAACACACACATGTATAGGAATAATACACGCAAACAAAACACATGTAACATTGTTTAACTCGTGTCAAATATCTAACGTTTTGTGTTTGGTTTAACTTAGAGTAGCTATCTGTACGGTACTTGCTAAGATTGAATGTGTTGGATCCCGATCCAGACCCGAACCAGAATCGGAACAAACCCGAACAGACATAAAAGTGACAAGAAAGAAACAGAAAAGATTGTTACATCCATGGATATTTCTTGCAGGCCTAATAAAGATGATGATAATAATAAAATCAAATTCATTCAAACAAAGACCGAAAAGAAGAAAACAGCAACATATATACGAAATACTAATTATAGAGAGATATTGACATTAATATCGTTCTCGAGTTCGATCTTGAATAATCCATTTCTACTCGAAAGAGAAGAATAGAAAAACAGATAAAATAAGGCCTAGGAGAGCTTACATTCAAGCTTCTTTTTATTCATATGAAAAGGCCTTGTGGCAACATCCCAGTGAAATTCTCAATCATCTGCGGCGTAAAAACATAGTCGTCGTAGAAGGCGTCAAACGGGACACCTCGGTCGCCGTCGACGGCAATGGCGGAACACTGTTGTCGGTCAAAGGTGGGGACCTCTTTTACATGGTAATCGGGAGAAGTAGTACCGTTCTTTGCCACGGTTTCGGGGACCCTTTGATTGCCGTCATCGTTGTCTCCGCCGACGTCGTCGACTGCTTCTTCGGTGTCGGTGAACTTTGTCGGGTCGTCATGTAATTCGGCGTCTTGGCCGGTGAGTTTCTGCACTAAGGCCCTGAATTTTGAGGCACTGGTCTTCACTTTCATGGGGTTTGATATGTACACTACTTTGATAGGCTTCTTGGATATGGCTTTTTTGGGTGATAATCTTCTTGTCTGCAGAGTACTGCTCATTGAATTATCCATTTCCAGGCCCTGAAAGTTTCCAAAAAAGGGTAACTGATTTTCTCGGGGAAAAGAGAGAGAAAAGATTGACGAGAAGAGTGTTTTTCCGAGGAAAATGAACAAGTTTCCTGAAAATTCGGATGAGAAATAAAGATAATAAGGAAGAAAATGAAGTGGGACGTTGGAATTTAAACAACAAAATGAAGGATTATCAATGTGTGTGCTAAGCCAGACGCTAACCTAAAGCGTGCTTCGGCCAAGCTCTCACTAGATTTTTATAGATAAATTACATCACAAGTCATTGTATTATTAGTATGATTACAACACTTCAATTTATTTACTAATTGTAACAATTATATCACTTTTTTCGCCAAGTGTATGACGAACATTAACTCTTAAGTTGTATTTGAATGAATTGACTAATACAACCGATAAATAAAATGGCATGATAGTAACTAAAAAGGTAACATACATACACACTTTGAGTACCTTAATTGTTACAATTGATAAATAAAGTGATATGATTGTAATTAAAAATTTAAGATCCATTCCATACTTAACAGAAAAGTGATTTGATATTTGCAATCGATAAATAGAATGATTCTATTTTAACTTATTAAAATATGATAACCTAATTATAATCATACTCGTATTATAATAGCCCTTAATGTAATTTGTCATTTTCTATTTTAAATTCTTTTGATGAGAATAGAAACACGTGTTTTTTTAAATTGCATCTATAGTAACACAACCATCATAATTATAAGTAAAAATATAATTAGAATAAATTAATCATTATAAAATATGATTAGACCAATAGTCGAAATAATATTTAAATTTAAGTTAGAATATATGTAAATAAAAATGTATAAACTGAACAACATTAATGATTAAATAATTTATCGTTATTTTTTGAAATCTCAAATTCAAATACTATATATGCAAGAAAATATACGTTCTATATATATATATATATGCCCAAAAAATGAATTAAATTTTACCTAAATATATTTAATTAAGCTAAACACATTTTATCAAAGGAAGACAAAAAAGGAGCGTGTCATAACGCGCTTGTTTAAGGCGTGAAGATGGAGAACAAAGGAAGAAGATAGATCTATCAGTGTATCAATAATTCTACCACGTGGCCATCACCGAAAGCCCGGTTAGATGTCCTGACGTCACTGCTTTCCAAATGAGTACGTCACCCAACCAATTGTGACCTATAAGGTTCGAGATGGGACGTCCCAACAAGCTTGGCTCGATGGACATGACTCGACTCGGCTTGCAGTAATAATCCAGAGTGGATGACAATTATTATTTAGGGTAAATTTTACATTTAGTACATAAATCATTATTTTTGTTCTGTTTTGATACTTAAACTTTATTTTTATAAATTTAGTTTAAATTTCATTTTTATGGGTAAATTATATTATTTATCACTCAGCTATATTCTTACTCCTATTTTGGTCACTAAAGTTTAAAAATTTCAATTTAACTACTCAACTTTCAAATTGCTCATGTTTTAATCACTCTAATTTATTTTATTAATAATTTTTGTTACATGACATTTTTATTATTTTCTCATTAATATATAAGTAAAATAAAAAATAAATTTGAAAGTTAGAGTGATTAAATTAGGAGTATTTTGAAAGTTAAGTAATTAAACTAAAAAAAACTCTGGTGACCAAAATAGGAGTGAGAAGATAGTTGAGTGATGAATGATATAATTTGCCCATAAAAAGTGCAACGTACAATAGTACCGTTAAGTTTTTAACGGTGAGGTATCAAAACAAAACAAAAAATAAACGTTAAGTATGATTTTGAAAAAATAAAAATTGATGCACCAAAATGAGATAAAAGTGATAGTTTAGGTACTAGGTTTAGTTTACCCTATTATTTATGATGGGTGTCCTACCACATTTTTAGTGTGCTATGAAATTAAATTGGACAGTTGGCACAACCCTTGTATGCGAAGTAAAATAAAATTTACCCTTAAAATCATCATTAATCATTCACTTCCAATTATAAGCTTTACATATATATTAGCGATTGATGTTTGAGAGAGATACCAATTACAAGCATTAAACATAGACGGCCATTTATTTCTTTTGATTTAGATAAAAAAATTAATTATAACGATGAATGAATCAAATATCATTACAGTTTACAGATTATAAAAATGAATAATAAATTTTAAAAAAGAATGAAGATTATTTAAAGAAGAGGGAAAGCTCCCCTTTGTTGGAGGGGAGAGATAAAAGATTATCGTCTAACTCTTAAAATTATAGTTCTGTACGTGGGGTGATTACCGATAAGAAATATTGGTTTTTTAGGGATCATGTTGACATATACTTACTACAACACTAATAATACTATCTTCGATATGTTAATTTTAAATGAGATGTCCTTTGAGTATGACTTGATTTTTAATTAAGTGTTTCTTATTCTCAACTTTTAATTTAAGTCATATATTTATATTAATACAAATTTTTTAATGATTATAAAGTATCATACGTGTTTAATTTTAAATACGAAAAAACATATACATATTTATAGACACTGGCAGATGCAACTAGGGGTTGCACACCTTGAAATCCATATTTTTTTTCGAGATAATTATCGATTTTATTGATTGTGGTCACCCTGAGATTTTATTTGTGTTTCCTTCAAACAAAAATTTTATGTAATTAATATACATGTGTCCATCTAAAAAAATATTTTTTAATTTATCATTAGCGATAAAGAAAACTATTCAAACTCTAATTATCTAAAGAGAACAACAATCTCTTTATTACTAAAATCGCTCGTTAAATTTTACAATAACTTTAAGTTTTTGTAAACCTAAAAAATGGTTTATATGAAAAAATGTAATGTGAATATATCAACGTCCAAAGCATGTGTTTTCCATATTTGACTTTTGCGCTTGTTAATAATAATTCAGGAGATTTTTTACATATCAATAATTGAAATTTACGTGGTAATAATAATGAGGGTACATTTCAGGTCATTGGATTATTAGTTAAGTTTATAAACGGTCTATGTTTTATTAAACAATTATAAATTAGTCATTTAATTAAAATATTTTTACAAATAAGTCATAAGATTGTTAAACATTAGATAATATAGTTAAAAGGTTCATTATAATATTTGTCCTCAAAAGTCAAAACTTATGCGCTCTATCGAATTGATTATAGTTCAACAAATTTAACTCTTCGTATTTTAAAAAAATCAATTTAATGATTATTCTTCTCCCAAATCATTGATTTTTCATCGTTGATCACCAACCCTTGTGAAATTATCAAAACAACATATAAAAGGAGATTTTTCGTTCTAAGCGTAAGATGATAATTTATTCGTCTCTCCCCCAATAGAAAGAAATTTTTTCTCCATGTCATCAAGCGTCCATATCCTCTCAAAACTCCCATCATATTGTTACCGTTACAACTCTCCACCTAAATCAAGAGAGAAGAAACATTACCGACACATTCCATTATGATATTTTTACGTACTTTGTTGAATGTAAAAATTTTGTATAAAAAGTCTTTTAAAATTATATTTATATTCTTGAAAAATACATATTACGATGCTTACATCGTAATTAATTTTTTTCAGAATAAATAAATAAATATAATTTGATCAAGATAACTTGCCTTACCACCAACTCCTTAAACCAATGGGCTATTTGGAAGGAGAATCTTTGGTATGAAATATAAATCTCATTAAACTCAATAAACAAATTAAGTCATACTTTTCTTGCTTATTAATTGAGTTTTGGTATGAGATGACCCCCCATTTCCTTTCCAAGAAACTGATAAATTAATAACCTGCTTACAATTTAGTATGTATCTTATTTATATATTTAATTTTATACATATTATAACATGTGAAAAATTAAAGTTGAATGAATTTCAAATAAAAAAAATCGAAATCGAAACTTTAAAACTAATATTGTTAGAAGGGATAATTCCTTTATACCTCATCACAAAAACAACCTAAGAGATATTAAGCAATATTATTTTATATCTTATCAGGGATGGATCGAGGGGTTTTAGGGTGTGCGGTCACATCCTAGAAGTTTAAAATTCATTTATATTTTAGATTTTTTTCTTTGTATTTTCTATTGGTTATATAATTTTGTACATTCTAAAATTTTATAATTCAACACCCTTTTTTAATATAAATTCTTAAATTCGCACCGTCTAACATAAATTTTTGCATGTTTCCATATATCTTATCATATATTATCATAAATTTATTATTTTTATAGGGATAAATAGTGCTTTAGCATGTGAAGTTGTATCTAGTAATCACTTTAATATTTAAAGAATATTTTGGTGTAGTTGATCCTTGAAATTTTCAAACATGAAACACATCATCGCACTTTGTTTAAAATAAAAATCATATGATACTCTAGGAACGTGTTCCAGAAACAAAAATTATTAGGAAAAAAGCAAAATTTTATGCTAGAAACGAACCTTTAAAATTTTAGGAGGGGACGAATTTATAAAATTTTAAGGGGTAAAAATAGATTTTCAATAAAAAATACATAAAAATCTAAAATATATAATAATTTTAAATTTTCAAAGGAACGACTGCCCCCATTCAACCTTATCGGTCCATCTCTGAAAATCATATTAAATTAAAAAAAAAGTATACATATAAATATCTAAAGACCTAAAAGTTTGAAAAATGTGAAATTTCTTGATTTTTATTAATATCATAAAATTTTCATTAAAATCATGTTTATTTCATCTAAGTTAAAAAAGTTTTATAATATATGTATATTGGAAAGTGGCTCTCACATTTTTCAATCATATATATATAAGAACACCGTGTTAGTCTTTTGCATTTAGAGGAACACAGTTTAATATTAAGAAATGAATTTATAAAATTTGAAAGATAAATAAATTTATAAAATTTTAAAAAGACGAAGATAAATTTTTAATAAAAAATATTAAAAATATCTAAAACATATAAAAATATATTTTAAAAAAGATGGCAATTACCCCACCCGTCCCTTCCATGGATAAGTTTGCGTTGGTTATCCTATTTCTCATATCATTATTCTTATTCACACAAGTTGTATTGAGCAGTTAATGCTTTATATGTCAATTTTAGTATTTATTTTAATTTCTGGTTTGACTAAAAACAATCTAAGCTTTATTTAGTCAAGTTCAAAATTTCATTTAATAAATTCGATTTTTATTAGATAAGGATAACAACACAAGATACGTAATTTGTCTTGATCTAAAATATGTTTGAAATCTATTAAAAAATATTTTTTTGAAAAAAAATATATAATTATTTATATCTATTAATTTTTTTAAAAAAATAAAATATTATTAATAGCAAGGGGAAATTAATAGATAATTAAAAAAACTCAAATTATTCATTTAATTTTAATTTGATTATTATGAAATAAGAGGTCCTTTTTCCTCCCCAATTATCTTCACTAAATTGAATTGCCGGCCCAATGGGCTTTTCAATTAGCTCAAAATCCACAAGTTTTAGGCTTAACTATATTAATTATTTCAAATTGGACTCTTCTATTAGGCCCATTTAAGTAGTAAATTCAAAGGTAAAGTACAAAAATAATTCCTCAATTATAGGATATTGTTTTGTTGAGTCCATCGGCTATTAAAAATTATAAAATGATCATCTGATTTTATGACATTGCTTTGTTGAGTCTCTACTATTAAAAAGTATAATTTTTTTACAATAATTAGTCCAAATAAATAGATTAATAATTTAAACGGTATAATTAAAATTTCTCTTTATCTAAGTGCAAGAAAAAACAAAGAGGAAAAGGTGGCGATGAGGTCATTTAATAAGTGCTTACTTTTCCATTTCTTTTCTATGGAGGTATACATAATACTAGTATTATTATATTTATTGTCGGTATAATTTTAATATTTATTTCTTTTATATTTTTAAATATTTTTTATCTACCCCTGTACAATTCGTAATATTCTTGAAATGCGTTCAATTTTAAAAAGGTGTCAAATTGTATTATTAGTCTATATATTATAAGTAGTTCATGAATTCAGTTTAGATCATGACCAAAATCTCAAAACTTGAAAAATATAAGGATAAAAAATGATTAAATTAACAAAAAAAAGTACATGCGTGATTATTCAAATCTTGACGTTGTGAATATCGTCTAAGTTAAAAACATCGTTCCTATAATGAGTTTATATAATACTCAATATGAATTAAACATTGATAATTATATAAAATAGACAAGTTAATATAATGAATCATTACGGATAATTATATAAAATAGACAAGTTAATATAATAATCATTACGTCAATATCGTTAACTATTATGTTAGTATTATAACGATCAACACCATTCAAGTGATGAAATTGATATAATTAAATGAGTTCGATGACAAAATTGATGTAATTAAAAATAGAGATAAAATTACTGATTTAGGTTTATTTTAGGGGCAAAATCCCCTTTAATCAGATGGACTAAATCGACTAAATCCTAAAATTTACATTATAAAGGGACTAAAAACATAATTAGATATTTTATTTTTATATTACCTACTGTTTTATTTATGACGACTAATTCATACGTGCCATCAAAAAGTCAGAAATGGAGGATTGCTTCCTTTTAAAAAACAATTTCTTACTCCTCAAAATAAGCTTTATTAGGGTTTCCCTTCTCTCTTTTTGGTTTCTTATCTCCTTTATTTACTTTGCCAAATAATTTTATTTTTCATTTTTGCTGAACAAGTTGTTCTCAGTTCATGTTGTATCTAATCGGTGCTGCTTTAAGATTTCAACACAGAGCAAAAACCAAGGTTAGTTCTCAGTTCAAGGTCAATCTATTTTTCTATTTGGGTTGTTTTTAGATTTGGGTTTTTCTTTTTGGTTGCAAAACTGTACGAATAGTAGGTTAATATAGTGGAAATTCTTGTTGTTTTTTTATTTTTGAGAAGTTCGATTACATGTAGCTTATAAATATCATTATGGGTCACTTTTATCTGAGTTATTCGGTTTGTTTTTGGTTGACTCAGTGAACGAAATTGAAGGAGTGTGAGAGGATAAAAAATAGAATTATTTTTTGGATGATGATATGTTTGGCTGTGATTGATGGGGAATAGAACGGTGAATAATGGTGTAGAAAATAATAAGAAAGATTCAGCAGCAATGCCGAGCTACGTTCCTGCAGTATCCTCTTCAAATCCCAGGTTTTTCTTTCGATTTAATTCTGTTTATGAGCTTTTGATTGCTTTTTGTTCAAATTCATCAATCTATTTCCACATGAGCTTTGTATTGGCGACATGTTTGTATATTTGTATGTTGAGACATCTTTATTTTCTTAGTTATTGAACTTGTACTAGGGTAGAGTTGGTTGAGTGTAGGTATTTAACGAAGCGGTTGAATTTTGAATTGTGATGGACAAAGAAGAATTCATGGCGTTTTATGCTCTTTATAAGTATAGAATAACTTAGGAGGTGAGACAGGGAATTAGTATATTGTTTTGTTTTCTTTTATGTCCTCAATTGGTCATCTGAGGAAATAATGGTTTTATATCGACTGAAAGGTTCATGTCGTGATAAAGAGCCCTTATTTTTGTCCTATGCAAGTATTAAGGTGATATGGTTGTATTTGATAATTGCTTGTCTCCTGGTGCACTTCTGTCTTCAGGTTTGCATTTTTAATATTTGCAAAGGAGAATTCATGGCCTTTTATGTTCGTTATAAGTGTAGGATACTGTTAATATTACTAAAGGGTTGAATCAAGGAGTTAATATATTGTTTTATCGTCTTTTATTTTGTCGGTTTGTCATCTCCGGAAAGAATGGTAATATATTGACTTAAAAGGTTCACATCATGATATAGAGCCATTAATTTTTCCTATGGTGGTTATATTTGATGATTGATTGTCTCTGGTTCACTTCAAGTTTACATTTTAAGCTCCGTATTAATCTGAAGGAATTTGGGATCTTTTAATATGCTGGTTGACATCTGTTCTGGAGGTTTATTAACTTTCTGTTTTCTTATAATTATTGTCATTTGAGAATCTGAGAATTTTGCTTTTACTTTTAAACCGGCATGCTGGACGTTTTCTATTGTTATGATTATGAGAATATTCGGTCGGCCTCATCTCAACTTTGAATGTAGATTTTTTTCGTTCTTGATTACTTTGAGATATTCCTATGTAGCTTTTTCTTCTTGTCTAGGAATATAGACCCAATCTTATTGAATCATACTGCCTTACAATTGAACATGTGGTTTTAATGACATGGATTTCAGCGGCACAGAGGCAAATGCCGTTCATTCTTCTCAAATTCCGGACTTTGGAGCCCTTGAGCATTTTCGAATAGAGGATGCTATTAATCTGACCAGAAGTATGTAATTATGGGCCTCAATTTACTATTAACGGGCATATGCAAGCATTTGATTTTATATTTCATGGAAAATGAATTGCTTAATGTATTACACTACTTGATTATTCAGCATTTGTTTTCTTCTTTGCATTATGGAATTTATTTGGTATATATTTTCTACTGATAATATTCTCGTATTTTAGATCCTTTATTTAATCAAATAAAATCAAATAGCCAGGCTTTAGCTGATGCTCAGTTTGGCGCTTTAAGCAAGGTAGCCATCCATCTCCTTTTGAAAGTTGTGTTTTTGCTTCAAACATTTGACATAAATTTAGTTACTGAGAGGTTTTTTTTTTTATGTTTGTTTTTGTACTTGTAAGACACTTGGATCCACAGACAACAATCTCTCTGCTGCTGTTGTGGGATCCCAACCATTACCGCTTCAGAAGGTTATCCAACCAAATCTTGCGCATATATCAGTTGGTCGGGAGAACTGGGGGGACTCCAATATGGCGGATGGCAGCCCCAGAACTGATACGTCAACAGATGATACTGATGAGAAGAATCAAAGGGTGATGCCTCTTACTTCAATTTAATGTATAAATGTTTAAGATCACAGTGTTTAAAATCCTTACTTGTCTGAATATACTTTTTCTTTCATCATTGAGAAATAATCAAAAGAAAAATGTATTTACATATATATAGCGTGTGCATGTGCACAAGTCTATAGTTGGAGAATCTGCTTACTGGCTAATACTGACTCTTAACTGACCATCCTTTTCTGCAGTTTGGAAGAGGTGTAAAAAATGCTACTGTGGCCTCGGATTCTAGTGATAGGTCAAAAGATAAAACAGATCAGAAGGTCGGGTTTTTTTTGCAATTGATTTTGAAATAACACGAATATTATATTCTTAAATCAGTTTTTCCTTCTATAATATCGATGAATTAATCATATTTCCTTCTCAATGACTAATTTGCAGACATTGCGCAGGCTTGCTCAAAATCGCGAGGCTGCAAGAAAAAGCCGATTAAGGAAAAAAGTATTTCCTTTATTGAACTTCTTTAATCTTTTCAACTGATCGTGTTTATATAGTCAAGATTTTATTATATTATTGTGAAAATAATCAGTCAAGATACACTTTCTTTGTGTCCTATTATAAATTAAGAGGTCACTTATAAAATCCACTACGATATTGTGTTGAAATTACACCATTATGTCATACTAATTGCCCCTTTTGGACATATAAAAATTGGAAAAACATCGTTATTAACCGTCATGTTTTTGGTTGGAACTGTGAGGAAAATAATATGTATCGGATGGACATGGATATGAACTACATAATAAAGCTTAAATGCACCAATGGCTGAGACATATTAGTATCTGACCAAGTAACATAGGAAGAAAGTTCAAAATTGTGACACGTCATTTATTTATTACGATAATTAAAGCCTGTATATAGTACTTATTAGTGTACATTCCTTTATTCTTAATCCTTTTTCTGCCTTCAAAATCTAGGCATATGTGCAACAACTAGAGAGTAGTCGACTGAAACTGACACAACTTGAGCAAGAGCTGCAGCAAGCTCGTCAGCAGGTCTGCTTTATGTTATCCCATTAATATTGTGATGAATATCATAAGCATTCTTTGTTTTCAGGGTGCTAATGCTGTCTATTATGCCTCACTTTTCTTTGTTTTTGCTTCTTTCACTTCAGGGTATATTCATTTCAAGCTCCGGAAATCAATCTCAATCAATGGGTGGAAATGGTATGCGAGCTTTATTTTCATCACTGAAATTTGAAAAATGATATGTGATTTCTGTTAGGGTCTTGGAGTTCAAGTAACTATGTTTTGAGTTCGTTGTAATATGTTTCATCCCGTAGCTATTAGCCTTGTGGATATTACGTGTTACTATGTCAACTTTTGTTCCTGAAACGCTGAGAAGAGGTACTGTTTATGCTTTGTCAGGCACCAAGTACCAAGTTACGGTATTTTAATTCTAGGGGTAGAAAGTTCATCGCTTTTTGAAATACTGTTAAGTCGGCATAGATGCTATTATTTGGAACATAGAAAGGCCTGTTTTACGTGCATTTACAACCTTCAGTCTTTGTGTTGCACTAGGTATAAGATTATTGAATAGATCTTTTTTTCTGTTATCGGATTTTGATCGATTATTAAACTAGTGCCGTAGTTTGGAGGAGTACTAAAATTAAGAAGCGTTTTTAAGTGCTCTAGTCATGGGCATCCATCAGTGATATCATATGATAAGATACTGGCTTTATGGACTGCTGTGCAGGTGCCCTGGCATTTGATGCCGAGTATGCACGGTGGCTAGAGGAACACAATAGGCACATAAGTGAGCTGAGGGCTGCAGTCAATTCACATGCTGGTGACACTGAACTTCGCACTATTGTCGACAGCGTCACAGCACATTTTGACGACATTTTTCGTTTGAAAGGCATCGCTGCAAAAGCTGATGTTTTTCATATCTTATCGGGAATGTGGAAAACACCAGCAGAACGGTGTTTTCTTTGGATAGGTGGATTCCGCTCATCTGAGCTTCTTAAGGTGAGCTCGATTCTTGATTCCTACCTCCAGTATTAAAACTTTTGTTGTTTTTCACATTCTCTAAGCTTAATTCATGTTGCTTGTAGCTTCTTGCAAATCAGTTGGAGCCTCTAACAGAGCAACAGTTTATGGGTATCCAGAACTTGCAGCAATCATCCCAGCAGGCCGAAGATGCGTTGTCGCAAGGGATGGAAGCATTACAACAATCTTTGGCAGAGACTTTGGCAAATGGATCACCTGCCCCCTCGGGACCATCTGGAAACGTGGCAAATTATATGGGTCAAATGGCCATGGCCATGGGAAAGCTAGGAACCCTTGAAGGGTTCCTTCGTCAGGTACTTCCCTTCTCGGTGCAATATTCAGATTTATTCGGATTTGGGGCATTCATCGGATTAATAATCTCTCTCTCTTTAACGTACCAGGCCGATAATCTACGACAGCAGACACTTCAACAAATGCACCGGATCTTAACGACTCGGCAATCAGCTCGTGCCCTTCTTGCAATAAATGACTATTTCTCTCGGCTTCGAGCTCTCAGTTCTCTCTGGCTGGCCAGGCCTCGTGAATGACAAGTAGATACAAAGTTCATCTCTATGAAAACAGTCTCCACACGGCGCTGTTCTTCAATATCAACATCAACATCCAGAATCTTCCGGGAAGCAGCAATGGCTACAGAATGTTGTAAAATGATAGACGACAGATCGAATAATAATGTGATAAGTACGATGTTAGGATTAAGAAATGAAGATAGGGGGTGGTACATGTAACAAAGGTAAAATAAGTTAAAGTTGTGAATGTGTATTCAGAATAGTAATGAAGAATTTTCTTGTGTTAGTGTCAAATTAATTTAGATCATTTTTTGAATTTAGTCATAATATGTTAGAAATAATTGAGGGATTTCTTAAATCATCAATGAATTGACGCACCAATTAGAGATGGACATGGATCGTATCGAGTTGGATTATTGGTCGTCTTAATCTTGACCTGAGAATTCTAATATTTCCACTTGATCTGGTGTTAGTAATGTTTTCCTCAGCGTATGGAGCTCAGCAACTAAAGACCGCCGGCGATAGGGTGTCTTCCTCGGGCTTAATGTGCTTGGTTCTTGTAGAATCACTGACCATGACGGATTTATTAAGGGTAAACTATATAAATGGTCACTGAAACGGAAGTTTGAAAAAGTTTTTCTTTATTTTTTTTATATTAATGTCTTAAAAATAGCTATTTGGTCGTTATTGGTTTATAATAAATCATAATTAACCTCAAGTATCTTCGAGTTCACATTGTGCACACAAAGAAGAGCGAAGCAACAAAATCCATGGAACGAGAACCCGAAACTCGGTAGCAATTTTGTGGGTATAATGCAGGTTCTCAAATAATCCCTTAGCTGCATCTTCCATATTGTTTACTGCAGTGTAGGATTTGAAGTCCTTCATCGAATGCAGCATGTCTATGTTATAAACCCCGTCTGCCAGTCCTACTTCTTTGCCAGGAAACTGGAGTTGCAACATACGGATAGGGCTCCCTGATTTGTCGGCTCGGGAGATCGATTTCTCGACTCTGCCTGCATTAAGTGGCGTCGTAACGATAGGAACAACCACATCACGCTGTGCTAACAGTCGTCCGATTTCTACAATGGGGATCAAGTGGCCTTGAGCCATGACAGGAAGTGTGATGTGAATTGTACGCAGCAGGATGCAAAAATATGTTTGTGGAAGAGATATGGACCAAAACGAATCAACCTTATACGCCCATACTTGGAGACCAACTCATGGAAGATTCAAATCGAGTACTTGATAGCAGTCTTGGGGTGCAAGTCTTGGATGTTTGTATGGGTTTGGGTCTTTAAAGAGGGGATTCAAACGACCGGTCAACATGGTTGTCTATCATGGCCAAACGGTGTCAGGTAAGCCGATTTAGTGCACCACATCAGCATTCCCTTACTTACAGTAACGGTTTTTTGTCGAAAAACTGAATTGCTATAAATCGATAACATTAGTGATTAAATCGTTATTTTTGAAGTATCAGTGGGAAAGAAACTTATGCTAACATCAGTGACTATTGTGTAGTTTACCCATTTATTAATACTTATTAGGGTAAATTTGGTATTTAGTTACTCACCATTTCCTGCGATTCTGTTTTGGTCATCCAACTTTTTTTTTCTTTCAAAATCATACTTGGTTACTTGCCTTTAAAAAATTAACTGTGATGTCGATGTGTTACTATAAGATAATCTCACACCATCATTGAAAATTTATAAAAATTTACCACATGAACAGTTCTATTTTTTTAATGAATGGTGATTGAAACGGAACAAAAATGTAGCATAGATATGATTTTAAAGGAAAAAATATAGTTTAAGTAATCAAATGAAATTACATAATAAATGGATGATTAAATTTGTAATTTATCATATTTCTTATTGGTTTGAAAGGGTATTACTATTATCATAGGTAATTAGTTCTTCATAATTATTATCTAAACATCAACTTAAAAGTTGCCATCCTAAACCCAATTGGTGAGAATGTTATAATTTTAAATAAACTTTTCTGTGATAATGATTTGTTTACGTTGATATTAAAATATTTCATATTCGTATTTATATTCACATCTTTATCATATTCACATTTATATTATTATTTGCATGTTTAAAATATTATAAATTTAATTTAAATAATCTTAAAATTTAAATTTATAAATTATAAATTGGTTAACATGAGAAATCCTAAGTTGAAGACATTGGGACCATCAACATGTGATTGATGTGAGCAACAAGGCAATTTCGATGGTAAAGAAGAAGTCACCATTTACTTTCGGCAATTAATAATTTATAAATTATAATGCTTTGATCCAAGTACTCCACACATATATATGGGTCTAATTCCATAGAAGATCCATGTACTATGTGTTTTGATCAATTTAATCCTTGAATTATAATTTCTCTTTTTAGTCTCCTACCTTTTTGAAATGTTTTTTTTCTAATGTCAACTTTTTTTTATTAATTCTATTAAATAATTTAGTATGATTTAATTAAAAAAATACAATGTCAATCTTTTTAGGCCTATGTTATCTTCGTTTTGGAACACTCTGACATGCAACATTCTATTTTGAGATAAAGCACTATAAGTATAATAAAACTTATTAGTTGATTAATCATTAATGTTTATTATAGACGTGACATATAAAATGTGTCTAAAATATTGACGTGACACATTCAAGTGTCCAACAATAATGTGGTATATACCACGTATGTAAAATTATGACGTGAAACATATTATATGTCCAAAGTGATAAGGGACATGTGATACATATTTTATGTATTTTATTACTTTTTGTTAATGTGATGCTTGTATTTTGTAATTGTGTAACGTGTTTCATGTATTTTTTTTTATATTTCTTACTTGGAGAAATAGAAGAGAATTTTACTCTTAATGAGTATTGAACTCATAATATAGAGGAGAGATAATGTGTCAACTAAGAGTTTTTAATAATATGTTATAGATTTTTTTAGCTTTTATTTACGTTTTCTAAAATATCTTTAAAATTAATAATATTAAATGATGATGTGACATATGTGTATTAATATTCTATTAAAAATAATTTAATATTACTTTTTAAATTCAGATATCATATTTTAGGTTTTAATAGAAAACAAAGAGTAAAATTAAGCATTAATGATGTTTGGTGGGGAAGTTAGGCCAACAAAAGGAGGGGTTGGCTTTTATTATGGATTTCTCACAAATCAATGTTCAGTCATTGCACCCTCTCAAACGGATAACTATCCTTTTCTTCAATCAGAGTTAATGGGAACAATCCACTTTGGACCCACCAAATATTATTTTCAAATCTCAATTTGTAAATTAATAATTATTTTTTAATTTAAGCATAAATTTATATATAATCTAAAATTTAATAAATATAAGGATGACAATAAAAAGATTGAGACGATTTTTATTTTCTTTAAAAAAAAATAGAAAATTTGACCCACCTGGTCTCCTATCCTCTTCCTCCCTTTGTTGTCGTCACATCCTCGCCAACCTCTAACCATTTTGTGGACACGTGGAGGTTAAGGTTTGCAAAAATAATATTATTGGTCTAGTATTTGGCATGCTCTTTGTTTATGGATCTTTCAATTATACAGTTGGTTAAAATCTTCAATAATTAAGTATTGTATTTTTGGATCGATGTAGATTCTCCTCACAAAACTTATGTGAAATATTATTATTTTAACAATTATATTATTAAAATCCAAAGATTTTGTAAGCTTAGATCTTGCATCATCCCTCACTATATAACATTTAATACATTTGATAACCTAATTTTCAACTAATTTGGATCCCATTATGAAGCAACCTATCAATTTTTTTTTTAAAAAAAACATTCCTAGGTTTTGGACACGTGGGCTCTCACCTGACAAAATCTTACAATAAAAATGGTTGTCCCTTGTTCCCATATGTAATGAGGTAAGGGGAGGTAAGATAGTAGGCTGCCCCCAATACTAGGCTGAGAGCAGCTTCCGTATGAGATCTCCAAATTATAAAATGCCCTCCATGAGACTCGATCCCACGACCTCAAGGTTAATAACTTTCCCCTATATTTTATTCTCATACTATTTTATTTTATTATTATATATCTACCAATTATAACTTGCCACATGTCCTCCATGTTCGGAAAATTCGGTTCACCTTTCAATCCCATGTGGTGCAGAACCGGAAATCTAATACATTGTATTTGGACGGTTCGGATAATTTACCTTTTAAGTGATTGAACTTATAATTTATTACAAAAAGAAGTAATTATATTATAATTTTCTATTAGTTACAATGTTACATTTCTTGTAGTCAAAAATGGCAAAAGATAGGTTTGAATCGGAATATGTAATTAGTTTACGTGAGTTACATTACTTTAATCTCATCATATTATATTAAAAAACACTCTTAACCATTTGACAATAAACGCTCAATCACTCTTGTATATATTGTGTTTGAATTTGAGATATCTAGAAATAACAATTATTCTATCAACCACTAAAATTAATTAGTTCATGTCATTAGAGAGATTTCAGTTCATGATAAATGGGATTTTTTAAGAGACTAAAGGTTATAAATGTTACCCATAATCTAAAATCTCCTCTACCTAAGCATTAAGATTAGACCTAAAATCCATTGAAGAAAAGATTATGAATGTGACCCATAATGTAATTTTTTCACAAATTGTGTATTTATTATATAATCTATAGTTTATTATTATTATTATTTTAAATTTCAAGGCCAACCATCCAACCAAACTAAAATCCAACTACCAAGTTAGATGTCGGCTATGGTGTCAACACTCAACCTATGTGTCACATTTTTTTAGTTATTTAATTTAATTTCAATGTGTTTTTAGAGGACCGTTCACCTTGCTTTGCACTTTGACAGCTCCGTCCATTTCGCTTCTCTTTCATTGCTTTTACTTTCTTTGTGAATAACTTGAAAAATTCAACACCACGTTTTTAACCAATTGAATTAATAGGTGATTTAATTTTTTGTTTAACCATTTGTATCTAATATATTAATTGATATTTTAAATAAAATATTAGAGATGTTCATGTATGGACAACCATATTAACACAGTTATTCTATTTGTAAATTTCAGAATTCGAACACATAATCTTACTTAAAGAATCTGATGTCTCATTTCACTTGACAATTGATTGTTGATAATAGATCACTTAATTTTTGGTTTAATGACATTCTAGTTTTTTTTAAATTAATGTGATTCTTAAATTTATTTTTATTCAATATAATTCTTGAATTAAGAAAAAATAATATTATT